AGTATTTCCCTATCATTTAACATAAAGAAGACCAAGATGGAAAAGAAAAACATTTTCTAACACATCCACTTGCCTTTTTAAGCTTCTGATACCTTTCTTCTGGAGTGTCAAAACCATTTGTTAATGCAGAGACTGAAGGTCCATCACTAATTCCTAGATTTAAAGAAATAAAAATTTTTATCTAATAAATGCTAACAGAAAAATGCCACTCAACCATTCAGTGCCTCTGTGATATCCTATCATGAATTAAGGTTATTTGGAAGCACTCCCTAACTTAACTTACTTTTTCAAAATTAGCATTAACTGCACTGGGCACCAGGTTAAACCCCCTAGTAACAAACTTAAGAGACATGAATGTTTCAACTTGAAAATAGGCAGTTTCAGTGTCTAAAACGTGACTTAAAACACCCTAATCATTTAAGAAAACCACCTCTATGCTTGAGTAAGTTTTACTGCTTTAAAGGAGTCTTGTATAAGCAGACATCAATAAATCCCTAGGTACATTATTGCCAGAGTTCCAGTCTTGGTCAAGAGTTTGGAGTGGTTGATATCTACACAAAGAATGTATTTTCAAGGTCAAGAAAAAATTATTTCTGGTGAAAACTCTTAGCTTCCTAGGGAACTGACTCTTAACTAGAAACTGCTTAAAGCCAAGGATAATATTTACCCCTGCATGGATTCCTGCATGATTAAAACATGGAAAACCAGACAGCAAAAATGAATATCCATATCAAAGGGAGTAAACCGTTCAAACTGACGTCAACAATTTAAAAACTAGCCGGGCCGGACACAGTGGCTCACGCCTGTAATCCTAGCACTATGGGAGGCCGAGGTGGGTGAATCACCTGAGGTCAGGAGTTCAGGACCAGCCTGGCCATCATGGTGAAACCCCATTTTAAAAAAAAAAAAAAGAAGAAAAAAATAAAAACTAGTCTTTGCTCCCTCTAAAAAAGGGAAAAAAGGCCAGGCGTGGTGGCTCCTGCCTATAATTCCAGCACTTTGGGAGGCTGAGGCAGGTGGATCACTTGAGGTCAGGAGTTCAAGACCAGCCTGGCCAAAATCCCATCCATACTAAAAATACAAAAATCCGCCAGGCATAGTGACACATGCCTGTAATCCCAGCTACTCGGGAGGCCGAGGCAGGAGAATGGCTTGAACATGGGAGGCAGAGGTTGCAGTGAGCCAAGACAGCACCATGGCACTCCAGCCTGGGTTAAGAAACAAGACTCTGTCTGAAAGAAAAGAAAAGAAAAAAGGCGGGTGGGGAACTTGCAACTTTAAGTGTCAGTGAGGTATTTACCATACACACACCAGCTGAGGCAGGTAACAGACATGGATGGACATGTGCACTAATGCATAAAGGAATATCTCATTTACCTGCAAAAACCTGACCCTAGGCAGTCACAACAGGGCAAATAGATTCCACCTATAAGAGATGTCAAGGGCAGTCAAATTCAGAGACAAATAATGGTTGCTAAAGGCTGGGGAGGAATGGCGAGTTCAATGTGTAAAGAGTTTCAGTTTGTGAAGATGAAGAATTCCTAGAGATGAATGGTGATGTTTGCACAGCAATGTGAATGTACTTAATGCCAATTAACTGTAAAGTGACTTAAAATGGTAAATGTCATGTTATATATATTTTACTATTAAAAAAAAATGTCTGACCCTAATCCTCAAGCTCTCCAAACGTATACGCCGCACTGTTTTAAGCAGCGCCAAAACCATCATCTTTATCTGCCATCCTGAGTCCAATACAAACCCATGGCATCTCTTCCTTTCTTCCGTGCTTTTGAAAGTTTAAAGAGAAACGTTGAGACCTGTGAAACCCACCCAAGGCTAACAGTGAGAAGCCACCATAAGAAGTCAGGGGCTGGGGGCATTGAAGGAGCCTTGGCCACGTATTGCAAGCTCTGAACTTGCAAGGGAGGGATACCTGAAAACTCCCCATCGATGGCGAAGAAGTCTGCCTCCTCTATGGCCTGGTACACTTTGTGAAGATTGCTCTTAAAATCTGCGGAGAAACCGAGAAGAGGCTCAGAACCGTTGGCCTAAATTCCCGCTAATGGGGAAAGGAAAGGAGGGCCGAGGAGCTCCCAGGGCTGAGAGCCGGAAAGGGACAAGTCCCAGGGGTGTGCACAGGCTCGAGAGGATGAAGTCCTCGAGGGGCGCATCGGCCAGAGGGGTACAAGGCCCGGGGGGTGCCCGAGTCGGAGGACAAGGCCCCGGGGGTTCCGCGGTTGGAGAAGTAAGTACAAGGCCCCCAGGGTGCACGGTCCGCAGCGGGACAAGACCCCAAGAGGCGCACGGGCTTAAGGAGGGAAAAGCCCTCAGGGGGCTACCTCAGCCCCAGTCCTAGCCAAACAGGCCAGCCATGGTCTCGGCCTAGCAGGCCAGGGGCAACCGGGTGTGGGAAGGCGGGGAGGTGCACGGCGGACACGCACTGCTCCTGATTATCTCCATTCTGCAGAGTGGCCGGAACCCGGGCCCCACCCGGGCCCGCGCCCGTCTCAGCGGTTCTACTCGCCGAATTCCGCGGCAAACGCGGCCGTAGTAGCGGCAGCAGCAGCGGACACGCAGCCGAAACTTCCGGACACAGCGCTCTGCTGCTGCGCTTGCGTCAGCGCTTGCGTCGGCGGCGAGGGCGGGGCTAAGGCTGGGCTTCTTTCACTCCTTCCAGGGACAGGGTGGGGGCGTGGCTATCGACGTCCCAAAGGCGTGGCCTAATTTGTGCGGGCATTCGGTTTAGCAGAAAAAATGTGCCTGTCTCGACATCCAGTCGACCAGGAAATACTGAGTTTCTATTACGTACTAGCCACTCTTACAGGGGTGTAGACACAGTGATGAACAGGAAAACGTGCTCCCTGCCGCACCGTAGGTTAAACTTGGGTTCAGGCAAGAGTCAAACCTGTCACTTGAAACACATGAAAATCGCTATGAAGGAAAAAGAGCAGGGTTAGCCGGGCGTGGTGGCTCACGCCTGTAGTCCCAGCACCTTGGGAGGCCGAGGTGGGCAGATCAGGAGATCAGGAGTTCAAGACCAGCCTGGCCGATAAAGTGAAACCCCGTCTCTACTAAAAATACAAAAAAAATTAGCTGGGCGTCGTGGCGGGAGCTTACAGCTACTTGGGAGGCTGAGGCAGAAGAATCGCTTGAACCTGGGAGGCGAAGGTTGCAGTGAGCTGAGTTCGCGCCACTGCACTCCAGCCTGGGTGACAGAGTGAGACTCCATCGCAAAAAAAGAAAACACAAAAGAAAAAGAGCAGGATGCTATAATAGAGAATAATGGAATCCAGGCGAGGTGGCTTGCGCCTGTAAGCCTAACACATTGGGAGACCGAGGAGGGAGGATCACTTGAGCTCAGGAATTCGAAGCCAGCCTGGGAAGCATTGTGAGACCTGTCTCTTAAAAAAATAAAATAAAAATAAAAAGAATGATGGGGTTGTTCCTTAGGTGATCAGGGAAAGTAAAGCTGAGACCTTTAGCTACTGCAGTAGCTTCTGGGAATGCTATGTCGAGTGCACCATATGAGGTCTGGCTCTAATGGAATTGTATGCTGGTTTGGGGTTGCTGTTCTTCAAAGCCTAGAACTGGGCTGACACGTAGCAGAGGCTCAATAAGCATAGGTTGTGTGAAAACATTCAGGTTTGTCTTTCAAAAAAGCCGACTCTGAAAAGTTGGTTAGGGCCCAGCACAGTGGCTCATGCCTGTAATCCTAGCACTTTGGGAGACCGAGGCAGGCAGATTGGTCGAGACCAGGAGTTCGAGACCAGCCTGGGCAACACAGTGAAACCCTGTCTTTACTAAAATACAAAAAATTAGCCAGGCACGGCGGCCTACGCCTGTAGTCCCTTCTAGTCTGGAGGCTGAGGCAGGTGAATTGCTTGAACTCGGGAGGCAGAGGTTTTAACGAACCAAGATTGTGCTACTGCACTCCAGGCTGGGCAACAGAGCGAGACTCCGTCTCCAAAAACAACAACAACAGCAAGAGAAAGTTGACTAGAAAACCTGTTTTCAAAATCTATCTCGGCCACTTATTATCTCCGGAACGTATTAAACCTTCCTAAACCTTAGTTTCCTGGGATTGTATTGAGGCTCAGTAGTGGTAATGTACGTGAATTGGGAAGTACTGTATTAACAAATCTGTATAAATAACTGTTAAACGGGGGCCTGGCAACGTGGCTTACACCTGTAATCTCAGTGTTACGGGGGGCTGAGGCAGGAGCATCAACTGAGTCCAGGAGTTCCGGACCAGCCTGAGGAACAGAGGGACATCCTGTCTCCACAAAAACAAAATGAAATTTTAAACTGAGCCAGGCGTGGTTGTGCACGCCTGTAGTCCCAACTATTCAGGAGGCTGAGGCGGGAAAATGGCTTGAACCCGAAAGGCGGAGGTTGCAGTGAGCCGAGACCGCGCCGCTGTACGCCAGCCAGGCAACAGCGAGACTCTACCTCAAAAACAAACAACAAGAACAACAAAACAAAACTAGATAATCAGCATAAGTTCTACACACTGTGACCTAGACGCTGGGAAGGGGCGAAACGTGGTGATAAAATCATTTCAGGCTGTGCGAGGTGGCTCATGCCTGTAATCTCAGCACTTTGGAAGGCTCAGGCAGGAGGAACCCTTGAGGCCAGATGTTCAAGACCAGCCTGGAAAACATAGCGAGACCCCATCCCTACGAAAAAAAATTTCAATAGAAATAAAAGTCACTCAATTTCGATTCCTAACACTGCAAATTGAACTTACAGTTCTGTGATTTTCTGCATAAAATGTGAAGGCAAAAAATAACTGTGGAGAGTACCGTGCGGTATTGTAATATTATTTTAATTTCTGGGCAAAGCTTGTATCCTCCGGATACAAAAACCGCCGCCAGGAGGAGCGGACAGCGACACACACCCGTCACGCTTCGGGGTGTAACTTCCGACGCCAGCCCTTGGTCCGCCGGTGAAGAGGAAGGGGCGGAACCGGTGGTGTTACGCATGCGCCCCTTCCTCCGGTGGGGAGAGGCCGCTCTAGGCAGCGGGGAGGTCGCGAAGTTGAGGGGGTAGGGAAAGGAAAGCAGCCTCTCCTCTATGGTCGCAAGGCCGGGGCATTTTCACCCGAAGTCGGTCCTAAGTTACTTCCGGTAGCGAAACCTCTACCTCTTCCTCTGCTCCAGCGGGGGGTCCGGGCAGGGGATAATGGCCGAGTGGGTCCCGGGACAAGTGGAATGGTAAGCCGCGGCACGGCTGGGGGGTGCTGAGGGGCCACCCGGGCTTGATTTCTAGGCGTGATGTGGAAGACTGAGCGTCAGTCCTCTTTGCGGAGCCGCCCGGGCCGGATCGGAGGAGGCGCGCGGGCCTCTCTCACGCAGGCCGGAGTCCTGAGCATCCCCAGTCCTGGCTGCGGGGTGCGCACCTCAGCTTGGCCAACTGCCCTATACGTTCCCGAGAGCCCCATGTCCGCACAGCCGATGGCTGGGCCTCGTCTGCGTCCTTTAGGAGGTCAGGGTCAGAGCCACTCGCTCCCAGAGGCTCCCTAAGGTGGGAAGGAGGAAGTGTCGCTTCTGAACACCGTGGAGGGGGGACCACGGGGTGCCTGCCCACCTGGAGCGCCTGCCGCACCCTGCAGCAGCCGGGCCAGACTTGATGAGGCTCCTGATAGTCGCCAGGCTGAGCTTGCGGTTCTAATTGGCGAGGCACGTTCTTGGCCCAAGGCGGAGCGATTGTGCCCACTCTTTAAAATAGGGTGACCAAAGCTCAGAAGAGAGAAAGTGAAACCCCAAAGGCACACTGGGGACAGGCAAGTACTCAGCTCTTCTGATTCTGCGCCTTGCGGCTTGGAAATAACTTGCGTAAAAGGGAATTTTCTTTTTCCTTTTTTACTTTTTTTTTTTTTTTTTTTTTTTTCTGAGACGGACTCTCTGTCGCCCAGGCTGGAGTGCAGTGGCGCGATCTCGGCTCACTGCAACCTCCGCCTCCCGGGTTCAAGCGATTTCTCCTGCCTCAGCCTCCTAAGTAGCTGGAATTACACAGGCGCTTGCCACCACGCCCAGCTGATTTTTGTATTTTTAGTAGAGACAGGGTTTCACCATGTTGGTCAGGCTGGTCTCGAACTCCTGAACTCGTGATCCGCCCGCCTCGGCCTCCCAAAGTGCTGGGATTACAGGCGTGAGCCACTGCTCCCGGCCGGGAATTTTCTTTTCTTGAAAAAGCTGGCGAGAGGGGGCGACAAATGAGAGTCAGTTTGTATCTAAACGGGGATCTTTGGCGAGGCGGGAGCCAGCACCCTAGCTTTAGCGGAAAAGAGAAACTGAGCCTTGTCGCTGTTAAGCCCTCAGCTGTCACCGTTGGGTCCTCCCTGCCGAAGCCCATTGGTCGGTCCTTTGGGGTGGTCTTGATGTCACTCTCCGAATGGCCAATAGGAAAGAGCTTTGCTCTCAGGGCACACCCCCGAGCCGGCAAGGACTGCACGTGCTGACGGGGTTGTTTCGTTTTTGTCGCTGCTGTTTTGTCAACACCCAGCCTGGGTGTATCCTGACAGATGTGCTCTGCATTTCCATATATACATAAACTTGATGGAAAAAATTGTATTTCTCCAGGGCAGTTCTTTTTGTTTGTTTGCTTTTTGGCTCCAGCGTTTGGCACTGGCACTAAGTATGTAGCCATCACTCATTAAATGCTGCTATTGATAATTCTGTTAATAATGCCTGTCAGCCACACAGCAAACTCCTTGACTACCTATTTATAGTTTGTCAAGGAAACCTCACAGCAGGGCGGGGCTCCACAGCTCACGCCTGTAGTCCCAGCAGTTTGGGAGGCTTAAGTGGGAAGATCCCTTAAGCCCGGGAGACCAGACCAACCTAGGCAACATAGGGAGATGCTGTTTCTTTAAAAATTGTTTTAAAAGTAAACCTCCCGGCCGGATGTGGTGGTTCATGCCTGTAATCCAAGCACTTTGGAGGCCAAGGTGGGCGGATCACCTGAGCTCGGGAGTTCAAGACTAGCCTGACCAATATAGTGAAACCCTTCTTTAAAAAAAAAAAAAAAAAAAATTAAACCTCCCAGCTGGGCGCGATGGCTCACACCTGTAATCCCAGCGCTCTGGGAGGCTGAGGCAGGTGGATCAGGAAGTCAGGAATTTGAGACCAGCCTGACCTCTACTAAAATACAAAAATCAGCCAAGTGTGGTGGCACATGCCTGAAATCCCAGCTACTCAGGAGGCTGAAGCATGAGAATTGCTTGAACCTGGGAGGCCAAGGTTGCAGTGGGCCGAGATGGCGCCACTGCATTCCAGCCTGGGAGACAGAGTGAGACTCTGTCTCAAAAAAAAAAAGGCCGGGCGCAGTGGCTCAAACCTGTAATACCAGCACTTTGGGAGGCCGAGGCTGGTGGGTCACAAGGTCAAGAGATCAAGACCATCCTGGTCAACATGGTGAAACCCCGTCTCTACTAAAAATACAAAAAATTAGCTGGGCATGGTGGTGCCTGCCTATAATCCCAGCTACTCAGGACGCTGAGGCAGGAGAATTGCCTGAACTCAGGAGGCGGAGGTTGCGGTGAGCCGAGATCGTGCCATTGCACTCGAGCCTGAGTAACAAGAGTGAAATTCCGTCTCAAAAAAAAAAAAAAAAGGAAACCTCCCAACAGCCCTTTGAAGTTGACAGGATTATCCTAGATGAGATCAGTGGGACATAGGAAGTTTAGGAAGAATAAATTGTGACCAGATTTGAACCCAGATTAGTGTCACTCCTAAGACTATACTGTTTCAACTCTACCAACCTCTCTAATGAGAAATTATAGTCCAGGAGATGAGAAAATATACACAAATAAAAGTTAGACTAATGGACAGAGACAAGAAAGATTAATTTGGGTGTTGGGAGTTAGTCATTAAAGACTTTTAAGTGACAGTTGATTTGGTTCTTTTCAGTTGGATATTTTTGACCCAGTAATATTGTGAAGCTGTGTTACAGATGAAGGGAACAGTGTGAGGATAAGGAAGAATGCCCAACGCTGGACACTGTAGCTCACACCTGAAATCCCTGCGCTTTGGGAGGCCAAGGCCGGTAGATTGCTTGAGCTCAGGTGTTGAAGATCAGCTTGGGATACATGGTGAAACCCTGTCTCAACAACAAAATAATATATAGAAAAATCAGTCTGGAGTTGGGGTATGCACCTGTAGTCCCAGCTACTCAGGAGACTGAGGCAAGAGGATCGCTTGAGTCCTGGGGGCGGAGATTGCAATGAGCCAAGATCAAGCTACTACATTCCAGCCTGGGCAACAGAGCAAGACCCTTTCTCAAAAAAAAAAAAAAAAAATGCCGAAGGAACAGGAATTAATAGGTAGAACTACAGTGTAGTGTGAGCAGGGAAGTAGGAAGGGAAAATCACAGTGATAGTAATAGGTAACATTGACATGACATGGGCACTTACTGTGTGCCCAGCACTATTTTGAGTGCTGTGCATATATTCATTTAATCCTTTCAACAACTCAGGCAGGTACAACTAAGACCCCCATTTTACAGATGAGGTACCAGAGGTACGGAAAGGATAGGTGACTCCTCTGGTATCATGCAACTAATAATTGGTGGAGCTGGGATTTTAATTCATTCTGGTCCCAGAGTTTGGGCTCTAAGTTAAAGTTATGTTTATTGATAGTGGACTGTGAAGAAACAATGACCAGCTTACCACTGTGGATTTTATTTTCTTGTAGTGGGGAAGATTTGGAACAAATAAGGGACTTAATGAGACTGGGAGGATGACTCAGGCAATGAAGAAAGGATTGATTGGTGGAAAGAGGATCGGAAACGTGATTTGAACTTTGTTGTTAACCCCATACCCATATCTTATGTAAGACATACATACATTTGTATGTAACAGCTCTCTAGTTCCCAAACTTCTGTGTGCCTAAGAATTTTCTGAAGGACTTGTTTAAAGTATGGCATTCCTGGGTCTTTCTCCCAAACATCCTTTTTCAGATTAACCAAACTTCCTGGGTGACTCTTATTGAAGTATTAAGAACCACAGTACTGTGATAGGAAGTCAACTGTTTATCGATTTGATTTTCATCTACAAATATGTAGAACCCAGCTTTGTGTCAGCCACTCTGAGGTATGATGATAGAATTCAGTGGGTTGGCCCCTTTCCTTAGGAAACTCAGGATTTGGTTGGAGAGGCAACGACATCACTGAAATAGTGTGTAGAAAGCATAAGAGCAATATATATTAACGTGTATTTTGAGACAGGGTCATGGTCTGTTTCCCAGGCTGTAATGCAATGGCATGATCATAGTTCATTGCAGCTTTGACTTTGTTCCTTGGGCTTAGTTGATCCTCCCACCTCAGCCTCCCAAATAGGTGGGACTACAGGTGCATGCCACCACACCCGGCTGATTTTTGTATTTTTTGTAGAGATAGGGTTTGACCATGATGCCCAAGGTGATCTTGAAGTCCCGGCAATCCACTCACCTTGGCCTCCCAAAGTGCTGGGATAACAATACCTTAAAACTGCCGGGCGCGGTGGCTCAAGCCTGTAATCCCAGCACTTTGGGAGGCCGAGGCAGGTGGATCACGAGGTCAAGAGATCGAGACCATCCTGGTCAACATGGTGAAACCCCGTCTCTACTAAAAATACAAAAAATTAGCTGGGCATGGTGGTGCGTGCCTGTAATCCCAGCTACTCAGGAGGCTGAGGCAGGAGAATTGCCTGAACTCAGGAGGCGGAGGTTGCGGTGAACCGAGATCACGCCATTGCACTCCAGCCTGGGTAACAAGAGCGAAACTCTTTCTCAAAAAAAAAAAAAAGAAAGAATACCTTAAAACTAATGCTTAGACCAGGCATGGTGGCTCACACCTGTAATGCTAGCACTTTGGGAGGCTGAGACAGGAGGACCGCTTGAGTCCAGGAGTTCAAGAGAAACATAATGAGACAATGAGACCTTGTATCTTTATTTTCTGAGACAGTCTTGCTGTTTCCCAGGCTGAAGCTGCCCAGGCTGAATTGCAGTAGCGTGATCTCTACTCACCGCAACCGTCACCTCCCTGGCTCAAGCGATTATCCTGCCACAGCCTCCCGAGTAGCTGGGACCACAGGCACACACCACCATGCCTAGTTAATTTTTTTTTGTATTTTTTTAGAAATGAGATTTTGCCATGTTGGCCAGGCTGGTCTCAAACTCCTGACCTCAGGCAATCTGCCAGACTCTGCCTCCCAAATTGCTGGGATTATAGGCGT